GTGGTGGGTGGTTGGTGGTGGGTGGTGGGAGGTGGTGTGGTTGGTGGTGGGGGGTGGGTGGGTGGGGGGTGGGTGGGTGGTGAGTGGTGGGGGTGGGTGGTGAGTGGTGGAGGGTGGGTGGTTGATGGTGGGTGGTGGTGGTTGGTGGTGGGTGGTGGTGGTTGGTGGTGGGTGGTGGTGGTTGGTGGTGGTGGGTGGTGGTGGGTGGTGGGGGGGGGGTGGTGGTGGGTGGTTGGTGGTGGGTGGTGGCTAGGTGGGTGGTTGGGGGTGGGGGGTGGGTGGTGGGGGTGGGTGGTGAGTGGTGGAGGGTGTTGGTGGGTGGTGGGTGGTTGGTGGTGGGTGGTTGGTGGTGGTGGTGGTTGGTGGTGGGTGGTGGTGGTTGGTGGTGGTGGGTGGTGGTGGGTGGTGGGTGGTGGTGGGTGGTTGGTGGTGGGTGGTGGGAGGTGGGTGGTTGGTGGTGGGGGGTGGGTGGGTGGTGGGGGGTGGAGGGTGGGTGGTGGGTGGTGGTTGGTGGTGGGTGGTGGTGGTTGGTGGTGGGTGGTGGTGGTTGGTGGTGGTGGGGTGGTGGTGGTTGGGTGGTGGTGGGTGGTGGGGGTGGTGGGGGTGGTGTGGTGGTGGTTGGTGGGTGGTGGTAGGTGGGTGGTTGGGGGTGGGGAGTGGGTGGTGGGGGTGGGTGGTGAGTGGTGGAGGGTGGGTGGTGGGTGGTGGGTGGTTGGTGGTGGGTGGTTGGTGGTGGTGGTGGTTGGTGGTGGGTGGTGGTGGTTGGTGGTGGTGGGTGGTGGTGGGTGGTGGGTGGTGGTGGGTGGTGGTGGTGGGTGGTGGGAGGTGGGTGGTTTGGTGGTGGGGGGGTGGGTGGGTGGTGGGTGGTTGATGGTGGGTGGTGGGTGGTGGTTGGTGGTGGGTGGTGGGTGGTGGTGGTTGGTGGTGGGTGGTGGGGGGGTGGGTGGTGGTGGGTGGTTGGTTGGTGGTGGGTGGTGGGAGGTTGGTGGTGGGGGGTGGGTGGTGGGGGGTGGGTGGTGGAGGGTGGGTGGTGGGTGGTGAGTGGTTGATGGTGGGTGGTGGTGGGTGGTGGTGGTTGGTGGTGGTGGGTGGTGGTGGTGGGTGGTGGTGGTTGGTGGTGGTGGTGGTGGTGGTGGTGGGTGGGTGGGTGGTGGGTGGTGGTGGTGGTGGTGGTGGTGGGTGGGTGGTTGGTGGTGGGTGGCGGTGGGTGGCGGTGGGTGGTGGTGGGTGGTGGGTGGTGGTGGGTAGTGGGTGGTGGTGGGTGGCGGTGGTTGGTGGTGGGTGGTGGGTGGGTGGTGGTGGGTGGTGGGGTTGGTGACGGGTTCTTGATCTTTAACGTGAAGTGGCTCGTGGCGTCGTCGCGATGACAGCGCCGGATGCGCCTCACATGAGCCCAGGGGCGGCCGCTGGAGGCCGAACCGCGAAACATTCGCGACGCGACCACTCGAAGCGCCACGGGGGCCACCAACTTCACTCGCCGCGGCCGCCCGCCGCCGCCAGAATGTGGATCGTGAGCGACCGCCTCGAGAAGAGATGGCGACCGCCATGAGAGACAGAGAGAGAGACAGAGAGAGAGAGTGAGAAGGTAATTATATCCAGCAGTGGAGTGAGGAGGTATGTTGCTGATACCTCGAGTGTGAGATGCAGAGAGAGGGCGCGTTAGTGACACGGTGAGAGGAACGTGAGAGGAGATGGGAGACAGAGTGAGTCGTTCCATCCAGCAGTGGTTTGAGCACGTCTCTCGCTGCTGCTGCTGCTCTCTGGAGTGTGAGATGGAGAGAGGGGGCGCGCCAGTGTGCGGTGTGTGCGTGAGTCGAGGTTGAGGTGTGCGTGAGTCAAGGTTGCGTGAGTCGAGGTTGAGGTGTGCGTGAGTCGAGGGGTGCGTGAGTCGAGGTGTGCGTGAGTCGAGGTGTGCGTGAGTCGAGGTTGCGGTGTGCGTGCATTTCTCTGTTATTCCTACGCTTAATTAAAGGCGCTTAATTAAAGGCACTTAGCGTTAGCTACTGGGGGAGGTGGTGGGGGAGGGGGAGTGTGTGGCTGTACAAGGCACAGGCAAAGCAAAGTAGCTGCGCCCCAAGTAGCTCAAGGGGGCCCTCGAGGTTCGTAGCAGTTATCGAGGAGAGACGGCGGTTGGGTGGAGGCGGTGGTGGAGGCGTTTGGTGGAGGCGGTGGTGGAGGCGGTGGTGGAGGCGGTGAGATGCAAATGTCGGCACGAATTCATTTGGTGAAGAGTGAAAAACTGCGGAGGAGATCCAACGAGATCCAAGCCACGGTCAGTCTCTGGTCTCGTCTCGGTCGGATCGTAGAGACCGAACGGGCGACCCAGCGGCGAATAAGTTGGAGGATGAGGAGCAGGGAGAGAGGGAGAGGGAGGGAATGTGTAAGGAGAGCAGAGCGTGAAATATTTTATTAAATCTTTCATTTAAAAAGGGGGGGAGGGCACATAAAGCAAAGCATTGAAAAAAAACAAAAAAAACGAAATGATGAACGAAGCAAAGTGCCGACTACACCGAGCATCTTCTTGATTCCTCTGATCGTCAAAATAAAAATAGAGAGGGTGGACGAGATAGGGAGGTCTGGATGAGGTACGAGTCGAGGTGGACAGACGACGAGGAGGAGTACAGGACCTGAAGTATGCACCATCACACTAAATGAGGCATTTTCGTTCCAAGACTTTCAGAGGCCAAAAATTCCCGGCATCCATAAAAACGCGACCAGGCCGTGAGGGCGAGCGGGGGGGGGGGGTAAACGTGTTTAGCCCCAAACCTCGTGGGAGCGGCGGCTAAATAAAGGATGTGTTTGTGTAGTTTTAGAAAATATCGGTGAAAATACATAAGAAATCTCAACGGAATCTGCGTGGCTCAATAAAGGATGCGTGCCGTGCGATGAATGGAGGGGCGCGTGGTTGGGTAATGGATCCGTGCGTGGATAATAATAATAATAAAGGCATTCTGTATTGAAACGAGACGCGTGCGTGATTGCATCAAGGACCCACCGTGTGGTCAAATACGGGCCGCGAGTTTGGGTTTAGAGAGTTAGAGATTGGGTGATGATTGGGGGGGAGGGGAGGGGTTTAAATTAAGTGTGTGGTTAATAAAGGATGCGTGGTGGGGGTGGTGTGAGTGAAACGTGTGCGGTGAAATATGGGGATGCCTGTGGTCAAATACATTATCGCCTGGTTACTGGCCGATGCGTGTGTGTGTGTGGTTAAATAATGTGCGGGTTAAATCAAGTGTGTGGCTAATAAAGGATGCGTTGTGGGGTTTTCAGTGAAACGTGTGCGGTGAAATATGGGGATGCCTGTGGTGAGATGAATGATCGCGTGGCGACTGGCCGATGCGTGTGTGTGGTTGCTTTGGGTTCTATAATGGATGGCGATATCTCGATTTGGGTTCGACACTTGGCCTTTATTGAACGCGCCGCTAAATAAAGGATCCCAATATCGCGATGGGCGTCTCCTCCGCGGGGTGGTGGGGGGCTCGAAAGAATGACGCCTCTTCGAAGCCGCAACTTGTACGCAGTGAAGTATGGCGTCTCAGTCGGGGTGGGGAGGTGGAGTTGTCGGTGGCGAAATAAAGGGAGCGATCATTAACTGGGATTGTAGGTCCGGGTACCTGCCAGATATCTCGCGTGATAACGTCTCAAAGTGAGTCCCTGGCGTTTAAATAGAAATAAGAGGATGTTGATGATGATGATGATTAGAAAGGTGATCTCGACGCGGTTAGACAATTGACACCGCGCCGGCTTCGCGCGGCTCAATGAAATGCATCGGCGCCGCGTGTGAATCGCGCGATTAATTAATTTGTAAAACAGGATCGCCAATTAATCGATCGGATGGCGTCTCAATAATCGATTTGCGGTGGTCGAATAAAGGATGCAAGTTGGGTCTGGCGTGGTTCAATGAAGGGACTTGACGAGAAACGATGGCTCTCACCGCTTGGCGAAATAATGGACAAGGATTATCAATGGGATTCAAAATAAAGGTTGTTTTGTGTGAGATCGCGTAAGTATGTGCATTTTATTTTATACCCACGTGACTTTACCGAAAGAACAAAAGAGTTTGGACACATTCATACTGACGCGACCTCACCCAACTACCCTTTATTGTGAATAATATCGATCGCCACAGCCTGCGACAATGTTAAATATGATCGATGGCCTTGCGCGGGTCCAATAAAGGACGCCGTGAACGCGAGCCACGTGACAAAGGGTGACGGATCGCACGCGCGGCCACGCGAAGTCCGACGGTTAAGTGCGTGGGGCAATCGAAACGAATTCTGCCGCAGTGAAATAAAGGACGCCGGCCCAAAGACAAAGGTCCCCCGTTGTAGCCTTGCAACAGACGACTGGGGCAAGTGCAGTCGACAGTCACGGCGAGTCACAGGAAGGGCGGAACGGCACGCGATCGGGAGGGGGTTGCGGGCGGACAGCACCACGCCCGGCCGCCTTTGTCTCCCCAGTGCTGATGCTCACACACCGCAGCAGGGGTACTCATTTGAGGCTGAGTCGACCTAGCGGAGGCCCAGGACCGGGTTCAAAAGCAGCTGTCCACTGTCATTAATCGTTGTCATCTTGCCGGGCTCGGAGCGCAGTGCAGCGCGAACCACTGCGCCACCGCTCCGCACTGCATGCGTTTAAACAAGACAAAGATCCCCCGGGTAGTCTAACAGACTGTCGGGGCAAGTGCTGTTAGCGAGCAGCAGCACCTATGAAGGCCGGCACCGTGGCACACGAGGGGGGTGGGTGGCCAGCACCACGCCCGACCGCCTTTGTCTCCCCTAGTAGCGATGTTTTCACGCACCACACCGAGTACTCGCTCGAGGCCGAGTCCACCTAGGGGAGGCCCAGGACCGCTTCAGACAATCGTCGCTGGGTGTTGGCCGTGAGCGGGAATCGAACCCCGGGTCGCCGGGTTCGTAGCGCGGCGTAGCGCTGACCGCTACAAGACCGCTCCCCGCTCACAGACAAACGCACTCACACACACTCACACAACGACTCACCTCTCGTGTCAAATGTATCTCCACGGTTGTGCCATCTCCCACGAGTAATCCGCCACCGTCACCGCGTCGTGCGTTTACCGACAAAGCGAGAATCGCATCTCTCTGCGGTCTACGGAGGCGAAGAATCAACAACTTACTGCTCCTAGCCAGAGTCCAGCATCAATCATCATCCACATGCCCCCCCCCCCCCCGCGAGTTGTCTTCTTCCTCTAAGCATCCGTGGCACCAAAGTCCAATCAACGAGTAAAGTTCCAAGGCGGGGGGCCTTTCAGTAATAGGTGCTCGCTAACTATGTACCCGCCCTCACTTTTGTCTCCCGAGACGAACCAAAATGTTGCTTTGGCTGTGTGGTGTCTTGCACCCGTGCATGCGCACACTTGTGTGTGTGTCTCCTCTGTCTCTCTCTCTGTCTCTTCCTCACCCTGTGCAGTTCAGTGTGGAGTGATTATGCCAGACTCTTCTCTCTATATATATAAACACGTAACTACTCCGCCTTCCTCTTTGTGTGTTGTGTGTGTGCTCTTTGCGTGATGGCTGTTGAATCTCCTCTCTCTCTCTCACTCACTCCTCCTCCTTCCCTCCAGCCCTCGGCTACCCGTGTACCTCCCCATCCGTGACGTGTCTACAAGTTGCGTGAATGTGTGTGCGTGTGTGTTAATGTGTGTGTGTGTTAGTGTGTGTGTGCGTGTTAATGTGTGTATGTGTGCGTGTGTGTTGATGTGTGTGTTAATGTGTGTGTGTTAATGTGTGTGTTAGTGTGTGTTAATGTGTGTGTGTGCGTGTGTTAATGTGTGTTAGTGTTGTGTGCGTGTGTGTGTTAATGTGTGTGCGTGTATTAGTGTGTGTGTGCGTGTGTTAATGTGTGTTAGTGTGTGCGTGTGTTGATGTGTGTGTGCGCGTGTGTTAATGTGTGTGTTAATGTGTGTGCGTGTGTTGGTGTGTGTGTGCGTGTGTGTTAATGTGTGTGTGTGTGCGTGGTAATGTGTGTGTGCGCATGTGTTAATGTGTGTGTATGTGCGTGTGTGAATGTATGTGTGTGTTAATGTGTGTGTGTGTGCGTGTGATAATGTGTGTGCCTGTTAATGTGTGTGCGTGCGTGTGTTAGTGTGTGTGTGTTAGTGTGTGTGTGTTAATGTGTGTGAGTGTGTGTGTGCGCGTGTGTTAATGTGTGCGTGTGTTAATGTGTGTGCGTGCTTTGTGTTAGTGTATGTGCGCGTGTGTTAATGTGTGTGTGCGTGCGTGTGTTAATGTGTGTGTGCTTGCGTGTGTTAATGTGTGTGTTAATGTGTGTGTATTATTGTGTGTGTGTACGTGCATGTGTTAATGTGTGTGCGTGCGTGTGTTAGTGTGTGTGTGCGTGTGTTAATGTGTGTGTGCGTGTGTTAATGTGTGTTAATGTGTGTGTATATTAGTGTGTGTTACTGTGTGTGTGTTAATGGTGTGTGTGCGTGTGTTAATGTGTGTTAGTGTATGTGTGTGTTTGTGTGTGTGTTAATGTGTGTGCGTGTGTTAGTGTGTGTGTGCGTGTGTTAATGTGTGTGTGCGTGCGTGCGTGTGTTAATGTGTGCGTGTGTGTTAATGTGTGTGCGTGGGTGTGTTAGTGTGTGTGTGTTAGTTAGTGTGTGCGTGTGTTAGTGTGTGCGTGTGTTAGTGTGTGTGCGTGTGTGTTAATGTGTGTGGTGCGTGTGTTAATGTGTGTGTGCGCATGTGTTAATGTGTGTATGTGCGTGTGTGAATGTATGTGTGTGTGATAATGTGTGTGTGTGCGCGTGTGATATTGTGTGTGCCTGTTAATGTGTGTGTGTGTGCGTGTGTTAGTGTGTGTGCGTGTGTGTTAATGTGTGTAATGTGTGTGTGCGTGTGTTAATGTGTGCGTGCGTGCGTGCGTGTGTTAATGTGTGGGTGTAATAGTGTGTGTGTTAATGTGTGTGTTAATGTGTGCGTGTGTTAGTGTGTGTGTGCTTGTGTCAATGTGTGTGCGTGCGTGTGTTAATGTGTGTGTGCGTGCGTGTGTTAATGTGTGTGTTAATGTGTGTGTGTATTAGTGTGTGTGTGTGCTTGTGTCAATGTGTGTGCGTGCGTGTGTTAATGTGTGTGTGTGCGTGTGCTAATGTGTGTGTGCGTGCGTATGTTAAGGTGTGTGTGTGCGTGCGTGTGTTAATGTGTGTTTGTATTTGTGTGTGTGTTAATGTGTGTGTATTAGTGCGTGTGTTAATGTGTGTGTGTGCGTGCGTGTGTGCGTGTGTTAATGTGTGTTAATGTGTGTGTTAATGTGCGTGTGTGTTAATGTGTGTGCGTGTGTTAATGTGTGTGTGTGCGTGCGTGTGTTAATGTGTGTGTGTGCGTACGTGTGTTAATGTGTGTGTGTATTAGTGTGTAGTGGGGAGCGTCGCGATTAGCGAGCCGCGCTACGAAGTTGGCGGGTTCGATTCCCGCTCACTGCCAACACCGGTGACGAATATTTGAACCCGGTTCATAGCTTCCCCTAGGTCGACTCAGCCTAAAATGAGTACTTGGTGTGGTGTGAAAATATCGAAACTTGGGAGACAAAGGCGGCCGGGCGTGGTGCTGGCCACCCACCCCCTCGTGTGCCGTATCGGCCTTCATAGGTGCTCGCTAACAGCACTTGCCCCAACAGTGCGTCAAGGCTATACGGGGAATCTTTGTCTTTGTATATATTCTCGTGTTGTGGGGAGGGGTAGAGTAGCAGGTGAGCGTGGCCGCGCTACGAACCCGGCGACGCGAGTTCAATTCCCGCTCGCGGCCGCCAACACCCAGTGACGATCATCTGAACCGATCCTTTGGCCTCCCGCTAGGTCGACTCAGCCTCAAATGATCACCTGGTGCTGTGAGTCGGCACGACGACCCCCACCTCCCCATCGTGCGCCGCCCTTCCCAGGCCGGCTGCGTCGCTAAATTGTCACGCGTTGCATTCCGCGCTCAACGCAATGCCATCAAATGCCAAGGTGTCTGTGCGCTTGCGTGGGCGTGTGCGCACGGTGCTGTGTGTGCACATGCACATGTATTGCATGCATGAGTATGCATGCATGGGTCTTTGTGTGTGTGTGTGTATGCCTGGTTGACCCACACACACACACAGGTCGACTCAGCCTCAAATAAGTACCCGGTGCGGGGAGACAAAGGCGGCCGGGCGTGGTGCTGGCCACCCATCCCGCACGTGTGCGCCGTGCCGGCCTTCATAGGCGCTGCTGCTCGCTAACAGCACTTGCCCCGGCAGTCTGTTAGAGGCTACACGGGGCATCTTTGTTTCTGTGTGTATTGGGAGCGGGCGTGGAGTGACGGCCCGAGTTCGATTCCCTTTCGTGGCCAAACGTCGGTGGCGAATATCTGAACCGGTCCTGGGCCTCCCCTAGGTCGACTCAGCCTTAGAACCGAGTAACTGGGTGTGGTGCGTAACCATCAGTCGTGGGGAGACCAAGGCGTTCGGGCGGGGTGTTGACCAATCCCGTCTCGCGGTCACCATTGCACACGAAGTCAATGTATGCGATGGTTATTCTGTTCATTGAATTATGCAATCGGCATGCCCATGCATTCCACATACGTGAGTGCATTGCATTACGTACGCATGCCGTAACTGTGTGCATTGTACGTTGAGCGTGTGCCACACAGATTGCATTCTCCACCGCATTGCATAAGCAATTTAGAATGCACCTAACAACATAGGTTTGCATGTGCACTTGTGCTACATTGTACATGCTATCTCTTTGTGCACATTGTATATATACAGGGCACCTACATACCTGCTCTGGGTCATTGCCCGAAACGTCGCCCATGTTTTGATTAAGGCCACACGCGCGCGCACACAGCGTGATTGACGGATGTGATGAGTGTCTTTAATATAGGGCACGAGTATTGGGAGAATGGCACACACACACACGCACGCGCACGCACGCGCGCGCTCCTAATCCATTGCATTGTATTGCATTGAAGGCGCGCGCGCCACGTGACAAAAGGGGGCAAAGCCACAGACAAAGGTCCCCCGGGTAGCCCACCACAGGCTGCCGGGGCAAGTGCTATTAGCGAGGAGCAGGGCACACGCCGGTGGTGTGGTAGGAGAAGACAAAAAAAAAACCACGCCTGACCGCCTTTGTATCACTGGCACATGTATCGAACACAGCTACCCCCCCCCCACCCGATACTCGCTCCGTGCTCGGATATTCAACGCTGCCGACACTGAATACTGTACAAATGCAGTACATACGATGTATAGTACCGTCTAAGTACAGTTTTATATTTTACGTCATCATCATTCGACAGACCTCTGTCAATTCGCTGCTCGATGAAGGCCTCCCGTGTTGTTTGACCATACTTCACCGCGCTGGTCAGGGGGCTTGTTGTGTGTGCGCTTGTGTCAACGTGTGTGCGTGTGTATGAGAGTGGTCTGTGTGTGTGTGCATTAGCGTGGGGGAGCGGTAGCGTAGCAGTTAGCGATACGCTGTGCTTTGAACCCGGCAACCCGGGTTCGATTTCCGCTCACGGCCAACACCGGTGACGATTATCTGAACCGGTCCTGGGCCCTCCGCTAGGTCGACTCAGCCTCAAATTACTACCAGGTACGGAACGTAATCGTTGTGCCTGGGACCGTGGCCGGGAATCGAACCCACAAGTTGGAACGTGGTTGGAACCGTTGGGGGGAGGGGGAGTTTAAAGCGCAGTGCCCTAACCATTGCGCCACCGCTCCCCGCTGCCACAACTGGAGATAGGGGCCGTCCATAAATGACGTCTCGCGATTTTGGACGAATTTTGACCCCCCCCCGTCACACGGCGTCACAAAAAGTCAGACCCCCCCCCCCCCTCCAAATATGACGTCACAAAGCTCTGCCCCGCCCCCCAAAATAAAACATGCTTGAAATCGCTTTAAACTATTGTCATTGTAGTGCGTATTTAATGTGGCGCTGCACTCTGATGTTGTAGGAGAAAACGTTTACTAAAAAGTCTATTTAATTAAGTAGAACGTGTTGTCTATATTTATTTAAAGTTGCCCATTTTGATGTGACGTCGCGTTTCTCCCCCCCCACCCCCAGGTGCGTGACGTCACTTATGGACGGCCCCATACAACGTGGCATGAACTGGAAAGTCAGGTTTGACTCACTTCTCTGGCTTCCGTGAATGGTTTACGGGGCGTCCTTTTGGCGAATAGCACGGGTTGAAACGTACAGACACACAAAGATCCCCCGTGTAGCCTTCACAGACTGTTGGGGCAAGTGCTGTTAGCGAGCACCTATGAAGGCTGAAACGGCGCACGAGGGGGTGGGTAGCTAGCACCACGCCCGGCCGCCTTCGTGTGCACTGAAATTGAATACACACCAAACCAGGTGCTCATTTAAGGCTAAGTCGACCTAGGAGAGCCCCATATTTATCACTGACGTGCGCAAACCACTGCACACTTGCCTACATTTCCCCCTCGCCGAAGCCGATCTAAAACACGACGCCAACCCCTAACACTGTTCCTAACACTACCCCTACCACTAACACTAACCCTACTCACACACTAACCCTACCCCTAATACAAACATTAACCCGAACATTAAATATACTCCTA